TAAGTTTACTAGATGCTGGCTAACTACATAAACCCTTAGTGTTTTCCAAAGTAGTTGACGGCTGACTCTATGAAATACCTTTTCTTGATCTATGTATGCCAGATATCATTCATCATCACATTCCTTAGTTTCATCTGCTACTTGTTGCAGTGCGAAGATGGCATCGGTACAGATTTTGTTTCTTATAAAACCCATCTGTGGTTCACTGGGCTGAAGTTCAATAATTAGGCTGAATCTTTTTTACAAAAATTGACACAAATTCAGGATGCCAAAATAACTGGCACAAATCAAACCTTTCACCTCAAAATGTTGGCAGCCCCTCGTTGAATGACACTTAAAAAGATGGCTTGATTAGCTATGTCTATAGAACAGCTTGAACCCACGACTCTGCAACACGGACAGAATCCACCTAGAACCACTGATACAAAATAGGTTGCAGAAATGTATATAAACTCGAAACAGGTCGGATAACAAACACAACATTTATAAACACATGGGATCTTTATGCTGTTCTATAAATGATGTTTAATTAACCAATCAGTCAGCATGTCCTTTAAAAGAAGTTGCTCCCTTCACGCCACGCCTGAAAGTCTCTCTTTCTCTAGCCCTAGCCAATTCTCCAGCCCTGCGTGCATCCATAGCCAATGCATCTTTACTGTCTTGTAACCACTTTCGCGGAGGTCGGCCTCTGGATTGTTATCCAGAAATTGTACCCTCCATCTCCGTTCTCTCCAGACCACAATGACGCTTGACATGACCAAATTATCCCAACTTTCGAGACAGCCTGGTATTTATGAACCAACTCTCCTTGATGTTTTGGCCATGCAGGAGGTGGACGTTTGTACGATACGGATGTTATTTCTATGTCATCCTTTCGAATTGCCCAACATCTGATCTCTTTGTCGTAACACTTGGTGTTTCAGTTTACTCTTACTGACAACAAGCACAATGAAAGTTGATCTGTGCAAAGGAATCTCATCTTTGAACATATAATCTATACCATAACGCTGAAAATCCATGTGTCTATCTGTACATTTTCAGTCCACTAGTTCTTCTTCTTCTTCTTCTTCAGCGTTCAAAGCCCTTGAGGTTCATTGTTGCAGATATCACCCGCCTCCATTCATCTCTCTGGTTGGCCTTCTTTTTCCAGTTGTAACACCAAGTGTTTACAGGTCTGTCTGGATATTATCTCTCCATCGTCTTTTTGGTCTCCCTTGTGGTCTACAACCATTCATCTCCCTGGTGTATACAGTGTTTACTTCTCTGTCATCTGACGTTCTTTAAACATGCCTCAAATATTTCAGTCCATTAGCTGATGCCAGTGATCAGTGGTGATTTAAACAGATTATTAATTTCGTTGTTGCTTCTCACTCTCTATTCACCGCTGTTTGCATATTTGTTAGGTCCAAAGATTCGTCTTAAGACTGTTTTCGAAAACCTGTAATAAGGCTTTATCTCTTTTAATTATGCTCCAAATTTCACAGCCATATAAAACGACTGGTTTTATCAAAGTTTTATATATTTTGATCTTAGTGTTGCGAGACAGACACTTTGACTTCAACGAATTACTCCTCACAAATGGTGATTAGTCAAAAGTTTAAGTTTGCAGATGCTATTATGTCTGCAATGGAATGGCTGACAGTGTTATTGACAATGAATGTTTCTAAGCATTAATTTTAATTACAAGGAACCACATATCTACATACAAATAAGCCAGATCAGTCAAACTGATTTGGACTCAAAGTTTTGGAACAAAAACAATGTCCAAAGGTGGCAGAATAACCAGAAACGTCTGTCTAAATAACAGACAATACAAGTGTCTGTCTGCCACACTGTTAAATAATAGTGTTTCTAACTCAGACTTCAATTGCATAATTTCATAATGTAGACGTTATCACATCCGCCTAACACACAGAAAGATCTAGGTCAAAAGCGAGGAAATTGTATATGTTCAGTTTTACTGTTTTTCATTTATTACTTGTTGTACGTACTGGTCAAAGCTTTGGGACAGCTGGTTCCCCCTATTACAGCATAAGGCAATACCAATCAGCACAGACATCTCATACATGGAATATTTGTTCTCACCCTATGCTACCAGTGCCAGACATGGTCACTCACAACAACAACAAAAGAAAATTAGTAACCATAGAAATGAGGTGTCTAGGAAAGTCTGTAGGAATGACCAGAAGAGATAAAAATAAGGACATACTAGATAAAGTCGGCACAGAACCAATTCTAAATTACATAGAAACACAGCAAATCTAATTGGAGAGAATGCCTTCTGATGCTATACTATTCAAGGCATATACCAAAAGAGGAGAGGGAAGTAGAGCAAGAAATAGACCAAGAACAAAATTAAAGGATAGCATCAGAGAAACTCTGCAGTACCACGATGCGTCTTTAGTCAAAGCAGCAGGAAAAGCACGAAGCAGGAACTTATTCATCCCTTGACACCCGAAGCGGTAACAGAGGACGTAAAGAAGACGAAGTACGTATAGACATCCTAACGCTTCGGTCTCACCCAGTCGTGCTCGGTTCTCCAAGTCAATGTGCCCAGTAGGAGTTTTTTGACACATCTTTTTTCTTTGCCCAACAACCTGTTTCTGCATGCTTGTCTTTGTTTATACCCATTTCCAGCAGGCAGTTCAGTGCCTCTGACTCCTTTGCCTCAAACTTTCATAAACGCAGCCTATTCTGTATGTTAGCCCTGTCCTTACTTCTTCCTCCATCAGCCATCGCAGACACGGATAACCTGTCTGCTCTTTCGTTTCCTTTCACCCCGGCTTTCTCGGTGTATACAATCATGATTTTTTTTTTTTAAGAATGACTTTTGGATGTCGTCCACATACTCTAGTCGGAATTTGGGAGTTTGGGTCTTCTTAAGCATGGTCACAGTGTCTCTCACTATCGATGCGTGAGTTGCCCTTTGTTCCGCCAGGCATTGCAATGCGCGTGTGGCAGCTGCTATCTCCTTCGTCATACAAGAAGTAGTTGAGCTGAATACCTGACTTTCTACTACTGTCTTTCCATTCACCTACGTGTGGCAGCTGCTATCTCCTTCGTCATACAAGAAGTAGTTGAGCTGAATACCTGACTTTCTACTACTGTCTTTCCATTCACCTACGATGTGGATGCCCACACAGAACACTTCTCACAAATCACTGAACCATTCTGTACAGATAATGACGTCACAAGGTCGATTGTACTTATAGATGAGGGTCATTATTTTAGCATCAGCGGCTGATTGGCTCAATTCTCTGCAATACCTGCCAACGATGATTATTACAGTGTGCTCCTGTAGTTTGTTCTGTTGTTTCCAACTGAAGTCTGACATGGTTCAATGGGCAAAGTTGGTTAATGGTATCCTCTGCTTACGCCACCGAGAACTGTCTCTTCTTGAGGCGGTCACTTTCGTTCACCCGTAGGCACTTGTGCAGAGGGTGTTTTGTTTCAGCAGCAACACAGTAGTTCGCCTATGCCTGTGCCATCTTGTGTCTAGTGACCATGTCAGCCAGGTCGAGGATGTATCACGTGGCGTGACATGATGTGTCTCCTGTGCGGACTAGGCCTCTTAGCTTTATTATGTGCCTAATATTTCCAGCTGATGTCTGCTGACTGTCAGAAGGCTAGGTCCATAGTTAGTCACTGAGAGCACCAACATCTGATAAATCACAAACAACAGGCTTTGTTTCATCTTAGCTGCTACCCTCTCCTTGAACGCTGCCAGGCATTTGTTAGCTTCTATAATGACATCATCGGCAGGATATCGAAAGGGCAGATATCCCTTAAAGTAGATACCAAGATATTTCAGGTCTAGTGTCCTTTCGTTATTATCTCCACCCATACTGACAATTAGCTTGGGCAACTTGACAACTCTGCTGTTTCATGGGATCCATGTCACTCTAGCTTTAGCTGGGTTTACTCCAGCTCCCGATTTCTCACGCTGTCTGGTCAGTCAGACAAGTTCCTACTGCAGTGTTCTATCCTCTCTGCCTGTACCCTGCCTATACGTCAGTACATCATCAGCAAATGACATAGTGCGCGCCAGTCCTATATTCCGGAAACGCCTGACGCCTACGGTGTTCACATTATATAGAACAGGTGATAAAGAGTGACTCCTTAGGTAGCCCTGGCATTATAGTCCGCTGCTTCGACATCCTTATCCGGCACTGTGGTCCTTGCAGGTTTAGGTAGAGTTTTGCGGTAACGGTGGAACCAGTCATCGGGAACGGATCCATTCTTGTTGCTGTCATTGTATAGGTTGCACATTTTCGCTTTCCCACTGGCGTCCAGCCTCATTATGTTATCATATCTCACATCACCAGGCCCTGGTGCGGTATTTTCTGAATGGTTCAGGATTTCTTTGATATCAGTCCCTGTAATGTGACTGCTGCTGTAGGTGAGGTTTACACAAATGTCTATCAAGTGTGCTAACGTTTATCTCCTGTCTTCTTTCCTTGTCATTATGGTCTGTCTTATGTAAGCATATCTGTCTGATGTAAGCATGTCTGTCTGATGTAAGCATGTCTGTCTGATGTAAGCATCGGTTGAAAAAGGTCTCTTGTTTTTCCTGGCTGTCTGCACTATGTCTCCAGACTGGTCTTGCTATATTGTCTATATCTTTGTCTCCATAAATGTTTAGGTGGCATGTCACGGTCGATTACCTTGCTGTAGTTCTTTAACACGTTTCTTGAAGACCCCCCTCTTTCTCATTCTTGAGCCATTTGATGTTTTGTGTATCTTCTCCCTCCCCTTCCCCCATTGTCTTCTGCCAGAAAGAAATATGGAGAATCAGGAAAGGAAAAGAAAAGATAGAGAGAGACAGAGAGAGAGAGAGAGAGAAATGACAGACGATCAGACACACAGACAGACAGACAGACATACAGGCAAGGAGGCAGATAGACAAGCATGTGTTTTAAGAGGTGTGTGTGCAGATTTGTATGTATGTTTGTATACGATTAGATAGATGAATTATTATAATCTATGGGTTATGTTTCTAGGTTTGTCTGATGCATCTGTCTGGGACAGATGGTGGTCGTATGAAGGCATTAACGGTAAGTACTAGCAACAGATCACCTCTGAAATTAGAACATTGAGAAATACCGCGAACAAAGCCTGAAGAGATCGAGCGAGAAATAATTAGATTAATACAATTGGAAAAGTACACATCGTTCAATTCGTTGAGACACAAAGATGGAAATGGCACGGCCTCCTGGTGAGAGTCAATTCCGATGCCGGCAGTGAGAGCTTACAACATGAGAATCTAAGCAACAAGAGGCAGAGGCAGACATAAAGAAGATAGATAAAAGAGTAACTGAGAACTTAAGACTTCACAAGATCACAGCATACCAAATAAACAAATGTGTCGTGGCTCAGCAACCTGTGGTGCCTAGCGGAACAAAACAGTTATAAAGACTAAAAGACCTCTTTGTATTGATTCTCATGGATGGAGTCTAGTCCAGAATCTTCGGCCTCTCTCAGCAATTTTCTTCATATGGTTTCTTTGAACGTTCTCGTTTTTTTTTTTTTTTAAAGCCAACTGTTTTCTTATTTCAGTGCCTGTTTTAATGTTTCTTTGTCTGCTCCATTTCTTAATGTGCCCAATATATTATCATCTTCAGTGTTCTTGTAACTATTATAAGTGGTATGGGTGCAACCAGTCCTTACTGTATATGAGCCTTTATACAGCAGAACATCTGGGCGGAAGGCGAGAAGAGGACCAAAGTGGAAATGGATAGGTTTAATCCTGCAAGACGGTGAACGAATCCATCACTGAAGCCACCCAAGAAGCGCAAGGTTAGTTAGTTGCGTATCCTCTACAGGACGTTGCAGAACCAAGCCCAGCAGCCCCTGGCTGTTGTGTGGTTTCTCTAGGCAAATTTACGTTCAGTAGTTTGCCATTGCTCACTCAACGGTCGGCTCTCGATACCTGTGTCGAAATCAACGCAGGGTTGTCTGATACCAAATCGTCCCCAACTACAATCGAACCGGGTACGTCGGAATGACGAAGCTACGTCATACGCCAGCAATGATACTTAACAAAGTAAATGCTAAATGTTTATTAAATGTGTAATGTATACCAGTCTAATGCGAATACCTAGCAATTTAATTCACTGCCCAAACAAAGAACGTAAATTTATTAGGTTTATAAGCGCTGATCGGAAGTTGGTAGGTTCTTATTCTGGCGGAACAGGACATTTTTTTTAAATGACTTTGGCTCCAAGATTGACCCAGCTTTGAGTGAGTATTAGGTAAAAGTCATGGGAAGTAAAGGCAGCCGGTGTGATGCTGACTACGTCACCCACCAAGTGCCGATTGGTATATAAAATATAGGTAAACCCCTATTTTATACAGAATCGAACCAAAGACCTTCGGGCCACAGACAAGCGTTTAGCAGTTAAACCACTCTGGCTCTAAGCATATATACCAGGCAATTTTCTTCATTGCTCAAAAGTGGCAACGTATATTGAAGTCGATTTTTCCTTGAAATATTAAATGATATTAGCTTAATAGCATGTCTGCTAATGTGTGAACCTGGCTGAGCTAATTGGGTCCAGGGAAAGTGATGCTAATTCATTTCAGGGCCTTCTTTCTGGGGTCGGGCGAATCCCGACTGGAAACTGTGTCAGTTCGGTCGCCAGCAATCGCCAATTAACATAGAACCTTCACGACTTTTGTACGATCCGAATCTGAAGGCGGTGAGGATCGATGATGCCATGGTAAGAGGTTTTTTGGATAAATGTGAGAAATAATTAACTTTTGTTTCTCTCTCTCTCTCTCTCTCTCTCTCTCTCTCTCTCTCTCTCTCTCTCTCTCTCTCTCTCTTTCTCTCCCTCGTTGTCTCTCTCACTCTCTCCCTCACACACTGTCTCTCTCGCTCGCTCGCTCTCCCCTCCTTGCTTTTTATATCTTTTTTTTGGCCCTCTATATCTTCTTTATACTTTCTCTCTCTCTCTCTGTCTCTCTCTCTCTCTCTTTCTCTCTCTCTCTCTCTCTCTCTCTTTCTCTCTCTTCTCTTGCGCTCTCTCCCTGACCCACTTTTTGCCATCCATTTTTTAAAATCTCTCCATATGTCTCCTTCATGCTATCTCCACCTCTCTCTCTCTCTCTCTCTCTCTCTCTCTATATATATATATATATATATATATATATATATATATATATATATATAAATAGTGTCTAAGCTGTTACCACACTAGAGTTCTACAAACTAACAATAATTAGTTAATTTGAATTTTTTTTTAACCTTCTCAGTGCGCTTATAAAATGCATATAAGATCAGGATTATCAAAGAAGTAATAATTATAAATATGTGAATGGAGAACGTAAGAAACGGATAGAAAGAAAGAAAGAAAGAAAGAAAGATAGATAGAAGAAAGAAAGAAAGATAGATAGAAAGAAAGAAAGAAAGAAAGAAAGAAAGAAAGAAAGAAAGAAAGAAAGAAAGAAAGAAAGAAAGAAAGAAAGAAAGAAAGAAAGAAAGAAAGAAAGAAAGAAAGAAAGAAAAGAAAGAAAGAAAGAAAGAAAAGAAAGAAAGAAAGAAAGAAAGAAAGAAAGAAAGAAAGAAAGAAGAAAAAAAGAAAGAAAAGGAAGAAAAAAGAAAGAAAGAAAGAAAGAAAGAAAGAAAGAAAGAAAGAAAGAAAGAAAGAAAGAAAGAAAGAAAGAAAGAAAGAAAGAAAGAAAGAAAGAAAGAAAGAAAGAAAGAAAGAAAGAAAGAAAGAAAGAAAGAAAGAAAGAAAGAAAGAAAGAAAGAAAGAAAGAAAGAAAGAAAGAAAGAAAGAAAGAAAGATAAAGCATAAAAACAGAAAGTATCTTGGCTGTATACAGCAAGAAATGCTGAGGTGAAAGTAAATGAATGAGCCGACAGACTGGCTGTGTTAGCGATGTTTAGTAAAGGAAGAAGTATGAACAATGCGCTGCCTTCCAAAGATGTTGATACAAAGAGTCACAGGCAATGGACCACCAGATGGAAATGGGCATCAGACGAGGACGAGCATGCAGAAACCGGTTACAGAGAAAGAAAGAAGATACCCCAGTCCTCTCCTACTGGGTGCCGTGAGCATAAAACCAAGGCCGTCTTTAATATAGGCCAACTAGCTGTTCCGGTCAGCTGGAATGTGTGGGCTAGGCCAAGGGCTAGCTAACACGTTGCATTGCGGAAGGTTCAAAAGTGACTAATGTGGCATGAGTGAATACTATGCATCAGAACGCCAACATTGCAGGGAATAGAGGCGATATACTGTCCGGAATATGCAAGAGTGCGAGGTAATGAAAGCGCGGATTGTCTGGCTACAAAAGTGAAAGCTACGGCAACACTCGTATTGGACAAAGGAGATATTCTGAAGACCATATATGAACGGCTTTTGACAGAAGACACGAGATTAGATGAAATAACATGTGCAAGAATGTGTGCACAAGGAATTAAGTGTGGATCCGGCAAGGAGGGACGGATGAGAGGAAGAGATCGGAGTGTGTATAATCAGTGTGCTACGGAAACAGCATCTACGGAAGACAGAGCATCTATGCTCGGTGTCGAATCGACAAGCTTGGGTCTGAGTCCACACGGGGCGGATTTTAGAAACAAAATTACCTTGGCTCCCAGGTCAACACATCCTGAAATTGGTACTAGGAAAATGTTCTAAGAAGTAAATTTGGCCGGCGTGTTGTTACCCACCGCCATCTCTACATTACGCCATCTAACTAAATCACGCGACTTTTTGGATGGCCGTGTTGTTACCGTATTACCCAAGTAGTGCCGACTAAAAGTAAAAAGTAAAGGACGCATTTTCACGCCTTTCAGGCGTATTGTGTATATAGAGCTAGAACAATATTTTTAAACCAACAGCACTTGGTGGGTGCTGTGGTCAGCATCCTGCCAGCTGCCTTTACTTCCCATGAATGTACATGGTACCCATTGAAGGCTGGGTCGACCTGGGAGACAAGGTCATTGAAAAATGTCCTGCCCCAATCAGGAACCGAACCCACTACCTTCCGATCCGCAGGCGGGCGTCTAGGCGCTACACAACAACAAGTCGTGCCGACTAGTCTATAGAACTATTGATCCAGCCAGGAACTCTGACGAGAAAGCCAAAACTGGAGGAGGATTCTAGACACATAACACATAATTAAGGGTGGTTAGGGCTCAAGGAATCTTCTGGTTAAAGTGAGCAACAATAATAATAACTGTATTAATATTATTATGTGCTCAATATGAAATACTATAAATATTAAAATATATCTGACATAATATTAAACGTTTAAAAAAAACTCGTATTCGTTTTTAAATTATGTGGGTGGTTGGGGGGGGGGGGGGAAGGGGGGGTCTTATATCCCCTTAAAACTATTGATGGAGCTTAGTCCTCTTTCTACCGCCCCACGCCGCTAAAATTCTTTTGGGGAACTCTTGATGCTAAGCCCGCAGGTTCCGTCGCCCAGGTTCAGCACGATACGGTTCGTTTGCTTTTTTTTTTTCTACCACAGAACAGACAACTTCATTAATGGGAGGAAATTGTTGCCGATCGGCCACAAGGGGAGACAATTTAATTGTGGAACCAAACATGATCGATAACTTGCAGCGAGTTGTCTTTTCCTGGTGTGCACAGACGAGGTCTTCCAAATGCTTCAGGGTTTCGTGGAGAAATTGTTCGTGCCTAGGGCGTTAGTTTTGTTGTTTACAGCGAGGCTACGATGTTTGACACTTTCGGCGAACACATACGTTTTTGCCATCAGTATGGCATGAGCACAAATTATAGTTAACAATTTCGACATAATGACATGCACATATTTTCTTTTCCATCTTTCCCTGCATTCTTAAGCAGAAGTCGTCCCCTTGTGTATTGTAATTTTTTGTTATTTTGAAGCCCCACCCGGTTTCTGCTGGTGGCCCTAAATATAGCCGTGCCATAAATATTGCCTAACGGCTGAAAGGGGTTTCCATGACCTCTCCACGGGTGATCCTCATCCGAATGTTGGCACTTTGTGTCACCGAAAGTTTGTCGCTTGTGTGATGTCCTGTTGTGGAACAACTTACTTACTTACTCACTCCCTGCATTCTTCTTCTTATTCTTCTGCCTTCCCTCCTGAGAGGGTCGCATGCATCTTGTGTTGTGGTTTAAAGCTAGGCTTCCATGTATGCTCCTTTAACCCAACACATCTGCGTTTAGAAAATCTTTACTTAGCTCCCTCTTTATGACATGCATGCTGAGACGCTCTGAATTGGCAAATGGAGGGGGAGGGAGGTATCGGCACATTATACAACTCTTCACTTACATTCTAATCACTTTTATTCAGTTAACATTCTCATCGTCGTCTGCAGGAGACGTGCTTGCAGGCAATACCGAAGATACCCAAGGACACTACAATACTGCCTAGGTTTTTCTGCTGAGGAGATGAGGCCTTTATCATTGGCCCTAACTGGTATCGCCATGGGCCTTTCTATACCACAGTGGTCTCCAACATTGACCAGGTGGCGCCCCCATTGATTATAAGGCAACCCCCCCCCCCCTTCTTTAATATAACAAAAAGTAATTAAAAGGAGAACGACTAAAAAAATTCCCAAGCATTGTTAACGAGAACTTGGTGAAAAGCATTTATATATATATATATATATATATATATATATATATATATATATATATATATATATATATATATATATATATATATATATATATATATATATATATATATATATATATATGAAGGTCAAATACAAAAGAAACAATCACAAACAACTGGCAGTTAAGTGTCCAGATAGCAATGTGATGGTCGACACTGTTTTGTCTTAATGATATCTACTTTTTTGGGTCTGATGGTGAACAAGGCAAAAGGGAGATCACTACCACACATCAATCTGCCCCCCCCCCCCCCTTCCCCACCCACCCCCTTTTCCCCCATTCCAGGCTACATTGGAACGCTATCGTCTTGGGGAGAAAAAAAAATCAAAGGTACCAGCAACAACATCTCTTTTGTCGGAATGCAGACTGATCCCTATCTGATGATGCGCATCCATTTGTCCACAGGTGGCTGGACTGCTCCTCAACACGGGACACGATATTACACTGGAGGTCAAGGGCGACGGGCTCACTCTCCTCAACATCAGTGAAGGCCCTCTGTCATACACCTACCGGCTGGCAGAGATCAAATTTCACCTGTCCACAAACGATTCTCTGGGGTCGGAGCATAGGGTCTCTGGAAGGCCATTTCCCGGGGAAGTAAGATCTCTGTCTGTCTGTCTGTCTGTCTGTCTGTCTGTCTGTCTGTCTGTCTGTCTGTCTGTCTGTCTGTCTGTCTGTCTGTCTGTCTGTCTGTCTGTCTGTCTGTCTGTCTGTCTGTCTGTCTGTCTGTCTGTCTGTCTGTCTGTCTGTCTGTCTGTCTGTCTGTCTGTCTGTCTGTCTGTCTGTCTGTCTGTCTGTCTGTCTGTCTGCCTAGTATTTAGACTATTTGAAGGTGAAATTATTCCTGTTGTCTAACAGGAACAAATCACAGAATCTTCATTCTGCTGTATAAAACGGTTACATTCGGGCAGCGTACGATAGAAGAAAAGGGAAGCAAGCGACAATGCAATCAATATCGAGGTATCGGTATTTTAAGTCATGTTGGGAAAACGTATGCTAAGATAATAGAAACGAGTCTGAGACCAGTGATTAAACCACAGTTGACAGAAGAACAAATAGGTTTCATAAGAAATAGAAGTGCACGGATGCAATCTTTACACTTAAACAGTTAAAAAAAAAAAAAAAAAAAAACTCGCATATGGTAAGAACTTAAATGTAGTGTTTGTAGACCAGGAGACAGATTTTGAAAGCTGTCACTCCCTCTCACATATTCCTACAAAGGTTATCTTCACACATCTGCATACTCTCTTATCCGCCTGTATAGACACAGATAGACATAAATGGTAGTCTGGTAGTCTTAGTTTCAGCTTCATAGCAACGGGTCGCCCCATCTTTGCACCGCTCCTGTGCCAACGAAAAACACCCAGAATGTTTATCACAGTCCCTTGTGTGGAAAGATTGACAGACTGCTGTCTCAGCATATCTAGCATACACTCGCATTAAAGCATACGGTAGCCATCCGAAGTGCTAACACAAACAGTCCGACATTAGAAATGCAGTTCATCATCGATGGTAGCAGAACTTGTCGCCAACAGTTCAGCAGTTGTCCACGCGATCAATTTTAACCAGATACGGGCACCGCCAACATTGCACGCCATTTTCTGAATCTACAATTCACACCAACACGTTGGTCACAGTCGAAAAAACATTCCAAATGCAATCCGCAGCTCACAGGGTCACGCCATGCATTCAACTCAGAAGCTGGGCGACGAAACTATATTTAGTCTACAAATGGAGCAAAATTATTCGGCCATCGTCCGGCAGAAGCAAAAAATTTGCCTCTGCTTCGAACAGCGCCGCTGTCTAGCATCCATTTTAACCGGAAGTCATACATGTTTATGTATATGCATCTACACATCCACCCATACACAAATATATATACACATATAAACATATGTATATATATGTATGTGAATGTATATATACATATAAGTAATAGTAAAGATCCATTTTCCACCCCTTTAGGCGTATAGGGCATATAAAGCTAGACGTATTTTTATTGACCTATCCGCAAGATGGGTGATCTAGTTAGCATCATGCCGGTCGCCTTTATTTTCCAGGACTGCACCCGGTACCCACATAAGGCTGGGTCAACCTAGGAGTCAAGGTCATATTTGAAAACTGTCCGGCTCCACCAGGGCGCGAACCCACGACTATGCCACGACGACTCCCATATATATATATATATATATATATATATATATATATATATATATATATATATATATATATATATATATATATATATATATATATATATATATATATATATATATATATACACGCCCATGCACACACATCTATATATTTATATATATATCCATATACATATCAATACTCATCCCCATACACGTAGTTAGAATCTGAAATGTACATTTCTGCTCATTATAACTCCAGGTCTCGGTAATCACGGCAGTGCTAATCAAAAAGTCCACATTTTGTTCACGTGATTAGCCCGAGAAGTCAATGAGTCTCAATTGTCCACAATTCCCTGGACATACCACAGCAGTGGTCTCCAAACTTGGGGCGGGGGGGGGGGGGGGGGGGGCTTCATACAGTTTTGAAATTGAGTTCATTTTTATTTGTAACAATCCGTAATATTATTTGCTTCAGTTTAATTAAATAAAATAATAAGATAATTCTTACAAAATCTTTTGATAAAACAAGAAGCCACGGACATTGTTTTCAAAAGCAGTTTGTACGTCGACAGTTATTCATCTGATTTATATGATAACACATTCATTGGTAGATGAATAACGCGTTCTGACGTTTCACCCGTACAGAAGGGGGCCGCGTGGTCTCGAGGTATGGTGTCCGCCTCGAGTGCCAGAGGTTCCGGTTTCAATCCCCGGTAAGGGCTGCTCTTTTTTCACGTGGACTTGGACTTCTAGTAATTCTCCCTGGTCTGTGAGATGGGACGCACGTGTGCATTGTTGCGCAAGTGAAAAATCCCTTGGCAGTTGGACATCGAAAAGAGTAGCCTAACGGTGCTGCCCGGGCAAATTTGGAGTTAACAATCTACCCAAAAAAAGTATTTTCAGGATCCTCGCCGGTGCTACAGAGCCTGTGCACTCTGATGAGTTTCTTCGGACTCAGACTTGAGTTAGAAGAAAAACGGAATACTTAAGGGTTACTACCCGCATGCCATGAGTAAGAATAAACTCACAGGGAGCAAGTACAGCGGGGATCTACAGTCATCAGTAGAAATTATCCTCGTCGACACACGTTTCGGCCCACGATTCCTAAACGTATTCGGAGGTGGGCCCACCTGAGTTCATGAAGCTCAGGGCTGCTTCCCGGCTGCACAGAATTACCGGATGGTGTTATTATTTCGGCCAGAGACAAGACGACTTAGTGGTTTCGAAGGAGGTACTGTGAGATAAGAAGCCGCCGCGACAGCGTAATTAAAACAGTCCGCATGCCTGGACGACCGAGCGACAAGCTTACTTTGGTTTACCGGACACATGTTGGACTTTTATTAGCAGTTGGCAGAGGGACACTGGCAGACAATTCGTACACGATGGACTTTTCAAAGGGATGAGAAACTCTTTTCCACTAGATACCCGGACCAGCTCACCGAGGCCCGTCCCCTACGTTGTTGCGCTGCGTCCAAAGCCAGCTAGAGGCCCTTTCGGCAACCTCTCCCAGTTTTTTGAGTGTTCGTTTCCGTTAATTACCGCGCAATCCTAGTTCTTTCACCACATTGTAGACTTGAACGGAAGTACCAGCTTAGCCTGTTTACAATACAGAGCCACGTCGGTCAGACAAGGCGGTGCACCAATCCACTTTCTTAAGGCTGTGTTGATTTTCTTTTCCATGGTTTCCACTGCAGTCATCGTCACCTCGTAGACTAGCTGTGGCCATAAGAGCTTTGGAATCAACATGAATTGGAGACACCATACCTTGAATTTTCCGATCAGCCTGCATCGCTCGATCGCGAGCAGGCCTGTAGCCAGTGACTCATGTATTCGCCGGACTTCCGCTCTGTCAGATAACTTCGAATCGTAAACGCGACCGAGACTCTTCACCGGTTCCTCCAGAACCGTAGGGATCTTGTTCCTTGCCACCGTAAAACTGGTCGCCGACACCCTGCCCTTATGGATTGACAGACTCCTCGACTTCTGCGGTTTGAACTGCATACCGCTCCATTGGACCACCGCGTCCAATCTATTCAGGATCGTGCGGGCAGACTCCTCGCTGCCCGTTATAATAGTCGTGTCATCCATAAATGCGCGTAGTGGCGGCAACCAGTGATCCCCTATTTGAAGGCCAAGTCCGTAGCCGGCCGCCCCGTCTAACATGATCTGCATTGCCATGACAAACAGTATGGGTGAGATCGTACAGCCCATAGCTATCCCAATCTGCAACTCAGTCCACCTCGTGGTAAACGTCGAGGTTGAGAAGCGCAAAGCGAACTTAGAGAAATATTGCTCGACCATTTGACTGATCTGTGTCGGTACGTGAAACATGCGAAGGGCTCGCCACAGTAGCCTATGGGGGACTGCCCCGTAGGCGTTGGCTAAGTCCAACCATATAACGTGCAAATCGGTTCTCTCATGCTTGGCTCTCTGGATAGCCTCCCAGATCATGGTCGCGTGTTCAAGGCACCCAGGAACGCCTGGAATACCACCCTTCTGAACACTCGTATCTATGTACTTGTTAGTCATCAGATACTGTGTGAGCCGGCGAGCCATGACTGAGAAGAATATCTTACCCTCAACATTCAACAGCGAGATGGGCCTGAATTGGGAAAGACTCTTCGAGTCCTGCTCTTTAGGAATGTAGACCCCATTTGCCTTTGACCACTCTGGACATATGTGATTGCGGATCCACGCTTGTCTCAACAAGACGTGAAGCATTTTAAGGATTTTCGGGCAACGCTTGTAAAGAACGTACGGGACACCGTTCGGACCTGGGGCAGACTTGCCGCTGGCCTTTTTCACAACGTCCTCAACCTCAGACCAAAGGGGAGGTACCATTTTAAAAGGTACCTTCGGCACCGAAGGCTGTTTAAGACCGCTAAGGATCTCTGGATTGTCATCGAGAGGCTCTCTCCTCTTTTTGTCCGAGTACATCTTGCTTAGATGTAGCTCAAGTTCTTTCTGACTGACAACCAGAGTCCCAGACTTCGGTTGCTCGAATAGACCTGGGCAAACTGATACGGGTCCCTAAAGAATTTCTCTCGCTCCCTTTTGGTTCTTCGTCTGTTGTTACAGAAACGCTCGGCACGACAGAGGGCACTGTGTTTGTTCTTTAAATGCAACCAAACTTCGTACAGCCCCTCCCGTTCGCTGCCTGTAGCGGCTTTGAACCGTTTTCTGAGGGCATTCTTGTCTGCCCGACACTTCAGAATGTCCCTCTGCCTCCTGCTAGTATTCTGCTTGGCACCCGGCTGTGCCTTTACTACTGTCCCGAACTCGCGGGAGCAGTGTTCATATATTACATCACCAAATTTAGTAAGCTTGTCGCCTAGCGACTTCTTGTTTAGAGTTTGTTTAAGTACCTCACATAATGTAGCCTCCAGCTTACACCACACCACCTTCTCGCTCGCAGGTGGAAACCTGATCTTGGAACGCACTTCTTCAGAAATCATCAAA